CTTTTCCTCTCCGAACAGCGTAGGTACTTTGTCTGCCTCGGACAACGGAAAATAAAATAATGCCATATCACCGCGTGTCTCGCCAGAACATTGTAACATAATTATTATTATTGTTTTCATTTTTCTCAAAATATGTGTTATAATAACGCGAAATCATTAAAAACAATTTTTTTTTTTTATCGTTTCGTTTTCATTCGACCACCGTAAACCAGCAAAACATTCACGAGCATGCTTCCTTTATAATAATAATATAATAATATAAGTCTCCTATATACAGTCACGCCGTAAAACATAAATATATATAATATTCACCATACATTGTAATATTATGTGTTATCCGTGCATAACTAAAACCAGTGATTTTCTAAACTCCATCGGATTTATTTGCTTTTCAGTCGTACTGCAGCGCGTGTTATGCAATAGTCGTTCTTATGAGTTTTACATTCAGGTTAGGTTTAGGTTTTTGTTAAAACACTGATCGTGTAAATAATTGATTATACCCGAAACGGTTACAATATCCTAAACATAATATACAATGATTTTTATTTTTTTTCAAATTTTCATCTTTTGAAAATATTATTTGGATACAATAATATTTTTAATACAATGCAGCTTAATGGAGAGAAAAAACTAATTATACTCGACCAATAAACGAGCTGGACCGTAAACTGATTTTGATTAAATTTATTCGATAAAACAATCAATTATATTAAAGAATACGAACTCCCAACGAGTGTGAGAACAATAGGACATCATTATTTTTTTATATTCTTTGATGTTGGTGTATTTTTGTTCTTGGGAAATTGGGAAAAATTAGCGAGCAGTGGTTATCCCTTAACGAGATAATAATCAAAACAACTAGTATTCTGACATAATATTGTACTTATCTATAGTGTATCACCCAAAACAGTAGTATATTATTTATAGAACGGAGGATGTTTACTTTTTAAATATTTCAAACTTTCAAAAATAGATTTTCATAAAATATGTATCCACGATAAACGATGTAAAAGAATATAAATTACGATCATGATATAAAGTATTGTATAATAAATGAAAAACCTATTTGGAAATGTAATTTATTTAAATTTTAAAATGTGAAAAATATTTGGCTGCTTTTTGATTTGAAATTAAATTTTTTAGGAAGAGGTTACTTTAAAAATAAGTTATTTTTAAATTAAACTATAAAGAATTCCAATTGAAGTGATTATAAAGTATATATAATTACATAGGTAGCCAAAAAAAAGTAGGTATTAATAACTATATTTATTTTATGGTTGAAAAATATATAAGGTGTTAGGTATGTAGAGACAATTAAAATACGTTATGATTAGTTACGTATTTGTTTTAAGGTGGTTTTGAGGAGCGATCAAACTAACCTACAGTTTTAATAGTAATACCTAAAGTTTTTCAATTTCGTTAATATAAAATTTCTTCAGCATGGTCTAAAGTGAAAAATACTTTCCGTATTTCTAATACGTGTTGCAAACGATCAGTGTATTATTATCACATAACTTATAACTATAATATACTATAATAATTTATTGCCATAATATTATGCTGATGAAAAGAACCTCTTAACAGGTGGTTATTGCATTAACTATAGTTGGGGAAATGTCTAGGGACCGACTGAAAACAGCGTTTTATGTGGGAAAGCATCTTAAGCGAGTTTTACTGTACCTATGTTTAAATTGAAATCTTATATAATATAATGATATAATTTAGGTAAGACAATTATTCATATATTTTTGTACATACAAATAGGACCTAAACCATTCATTTTAAACTTTTTAAACGAAATTTTTATCATTATAAAATATTAGGTATTTTACTTTCCGCAATATGTTAAAAACAGATAATTAGTTTTTGAAATCCGTTTATAAACATAATATAGGTACACACAGTGGCGTGCCGAACTGACAAGCAGAGCTGAGGCAAACTATACAATTTGATCCCCCTCCCCACCACCAACATTTTTTCACTATTTTTTTTTATTATTCAAAATAATAAATATTATTAAGTTTTTTTAGGTATAAGTTGCACATCTATACTAACACACCCTCCCACCTACCCGAACTTTCCCTGAGGCAATTGCCTCAAAAAATTACTATTCAGCACGCCTCTGGGTACACATTTGGTCGTCCAGGTACAATATATTTTACCGCAGTATTTGAGAAATGTTAGGCACCCACACTGGCACGCTCGTAAGTCGTAGACAACTATAATAGACTCATTAAAATGTATCATAAATGCAAAGTATAATATCTACTCATTACACTATTACAGTCAGCAAGCTGTTAATAATAAATAATATAAAATTCCCATTAAAATTATACAATACCTTTTTTACAACTATAAAATCAATTTGATCTGTTTGAAATATCAAAATTCATATTTTTGTATACGCAGCATTATTATTTAGAAACATTTATGTTTTGTAATCATTTTAATGCGTATTACTTCAGATCACATAACATACCAATAATATATAATTGCTTTTGGTATAAAATACACTTGTAGGTACCTCGTTTACTGTTTAGTGAATTTTACATCACAGTTTTCGTTTTCTCCGACGATGTCTATTTGCCTATTTTTCACTAGAGTGGTAGATATATTACAATGCATAACAACTATACAATACATAATATATATAAGTCGTAATATTATTGTGTACATTAGATACAAACGCCATAAGTTATTTTCCATAAAATACGGAGACAGTAAGACACTTCCGAATGACACGTTCTATATTATTATAATATAATCATTACACTTCCATAATATATTATATTTATATATATGTACGTAGTACAATACTACAATGTATAAATCGTAATTTATTACTGTACAATATGCAGAGGGGTTCACCAAACATGCTCACCCCCTTTCACTTGTATTTATTTAGGTATTTAGTTTTAGTAGTTAAATATTTAAATAGTAGACTATTTAATATTTCAAGATAATGGGTACATTGTATAACATGGTAATACAAGTTTGATAAGTTCTTAGGTTATACATAATGTAGGTATATTGTAACTTTTTGTTACTTGTAGGTAATGTTAGTAAACAGTATGACCCTGCATACTTTATTACTGGAATTTATCTAAATTATAATATTTAGGCATTTTGTAATATAGGTAGATACCAACTTTAAATACCTACAATATTTTTTTAGAAACTAAGGTTTCTTTTACAATATTACCATAGTTAAGGAGTCTCCTGAGGCGATACAAACTTCATTTTCTTTAAATTACAACCACCCAATTTTACTGTACCTAATAGGTAGGTATTATTGTTTTGTAGATAATTTTATTTTGAAAACCCTTAATACAATCCTATTACCGAATAATGGTCTTACACTCTTACATAAAATATAAAATGTATCTAATAAATATTTTGTCTTAGTGCTTATCGTACATTTGTACTATAATATTATTATAATATTAATAAATGATTAAAAGTAATAAATAAGTTTAATAGTAATTCCTATCATTTTAAAATTATCATGGCTCACATATAAAAATATATATTAGATCATAAAGTTGCATATCTTAGAGTAATAACTCGTTCGAATTTCGATTTATACGCCCACATCTAAAAAAAAACCATCTGCTTAACAATTATTTACAGTAAAAAAATGTGATTCCCATTTAAAAAATGAAGAATTTCGTAATGCCACCGCAAGACTCCACGAATAAAAATAATTATTTGAAAATATTACGGCTTCTAAAATAATTAATATTAATGTACTTACAAATTCCAAAAATCAACACTCAAAAGAATTCGTTATTGAAGCAGTGGTGGTGAGTATTCCTGATGAATCACCCTGCAGTATAATTTAGACAGTGGTACTGTGTTATAGCGGTTGTTTAATGCCATAATATACATTTATCTACCTACCAGGTTTTCGCATTACACACTCAAAACGTCGTGTGTCATTCCGCGGGGAATAATCTTACTCGATTTCCCTTTTAATTTTCGATTGTTCTTTTTTCTTCAACCGTTTTATTCGTTTTGAATGTAATTGGAATCTCGTTACAAAAACGGCCGACACATTATTATTATTATTAGTATTATTATTATATTGATGCACGAAATTCGATTTCACGTGTTTTGACTGTTTCTTATATTTCTTTCTTTTTATGTCACATCTACAATAAAATAAAAATGACACTATATTATATATATCTGTGCGTAAGACGCGTTTATATTATATATTATATATAAATGCAGTATTATGATTGCGAACAATAATTATTATTATTACACGGTATAAACTCTTTTACGAGTATTTTGTTATGACGCGAAGCGGTTAGCGAGGAACGATATATAATAATTTAAATTGGAATTTTTATATTAAAACGATAAAAACGTCGTCAAACGTATTAACTATGCGTATTGTATTATGTGGGTATGTAAAAAGTTTCAACAGTTGTATAATAGATCTTCGAACGTTCGCTTTCGGTAAAATGCATACCTACCTATTTTAGAAATTGTTAATGTCAAAAATCAAAATATAATAATAATATAATATTATTGTACATTACGATTGTTGATTGATTAAAAATGTATTAGAGAAGTCTTAATATTAATATTAGTTGGTACATTTTAATTGCACAGTATCACGAGAGACGAACAACAATATGTTATAGGTTATATACTTATATTATTGTTAAAAACCATAAAACATAAAAATTCATTGAAAAATATTTATTATAAATTATAATTACTAATAGGTACTAAGGTGCCTACAATAGACATATAATCCATATATACTATTATGTAGTCAAAAGGTACATTGTTTTTTACATTTATATATATTATTATATAAAGGTTTATCTTTTAACTGCAATATTACCTATCGCTGTATTGCGTATTAATATTGTTTAAATTTTTTTTTTAAACGTCACATTTATACATTAGTACCTAGATTTGTGTAATATTTAATAATATTTTCAGCTATAATGTTACGAAACGATATAATTGTCTATTATTTTTATATGAATTATTTTAAAGGACATACTGAACATTTTACGTTTGTAAATACAAAAACCGAAGTTACCTCGATCGCTCTCTCGTTTTATTCTGGCCTTTTCGCGTATAACGGATGGTTAGTACCTATATACAATATATATTATAATACACCTATATACTGAACAATGGTAAACAATAAAATTTCATACCGTTGTTTATAATATATTTACAGTTTCTACAAATGTATACGGATATTATTAACATGAAATGATATTATGTATATACAGACATGCATGCCAAAGTAATAGAAGTAAAAATTGAATGCCATTTGATAAGAATTCCGCATGGGAATGGACGAAAAGTATAAATTTATAATTGTTCGGATAAGTTTTGTGCCAATGCAGATTCGAAAAATTAAAATATTAATATGGGTCATACGCTATACGTACTTAACGAAACCTGCCTCCTATTCGATGAGTTGTGTTAAAAACGAAGAAAAAAATTGCTTGTTCATGATCTATCTAAAATATTAACAACATAAGAATTGTACCTTTACCTACTCTATAGAAAGTCCTAAAACGTATTGCGTGCATGAAATAGGTGATTTGGTTTTTTTTTCAATACGCTATATAATGTGTCCAGGTTGTTCGATTTTTTTATTTTCAATAAGATTTATTAATAATTATAATTAATTTTTATACAATTATTATAACAATAACCATCTGCCAAGCTTGATACATAAATACATTATGCGTGTATTATTATTAAATTTAATTTGGTAGATACCTTATATTGTGTAATAGTAATAATAATATATAATATAATAATATATAATACGACAATATTATTAGACACAAATTTCAGCAAAAAGTACATTATATATAAACATTACAATTGCCAGTATTTAGGACGACCCATCTTCTCCATCGATTTAATTTATAGTTAATTTTATTAATTTACCTTCGACCATTTTTTACATAACTATATATGTGTAAATTAAGATTTATGCTGAAAATACCTACGTCAGAACTGACGGTTCAAATCACATTGAGAAACGCTTTATTATAATAACATAATAATATAATATATATCAAGTTATGCTATTTTACCATACAATGAAAAAAAAATTACAATATTGCAGATATTTTATGTACATTGTGTGGACGCATATTATTGTATTATTAATTGTTACATATTATTATAGTGGTGTTCCCAGCAGCTGCAGTGGTGCATGTTTCCACGTTTTTTAAATTGCATATTTCGATGAAGTTTTAATTTAGGTATATAATATTATGAACGAGTGCTCAGGCTTTACATAGTATATTACATAATATTTTTATAAGACATTGCATGGTACAATTAAAAGGGCGCAACTGTAACGCCTAATTGTAGGTGCCGAAAAACGGCCGTAGACATTTTTTCTCCACCCCAATGTGACAAACCAACCCCTAACCGACTTAGCGTGGGATCTTCTCAATGGCTTTTTACTTTTAAAACGGCTTGCATATAAACGGCATTTAAAATTTGTTGTCGTAATTAAAGTTCTCAAATTTATTTCGATCAATAAAATTCAAATCATTCTTGATTATACGTACGTATTGCCTTCAATTGCCTACACCTGAATGTGAAACAGTTCTAATTTTGTAACTATCGAGTGATAATTTCCTAGTAATAATTGTTCCACGCTAAAATTCCTTGAGACATATAGGTGCATTATATATTTTATAAGCTATAATATTATCGCCGGAAAAACGCCAATAATCTGTCTTATGTTTTAATTTGTTTCAAATTTCGTGTTCAAATTGCCCATATTAGTTGAGCTCTTACAACTCTCATTTATTCGTTACTGTTGCCGCCCTATATTAAAAATAATTAATATTAATTAGGTATATATAACCAATATTATACCACATAACTATTATAATAACACTATATATAGTCTCAAACAATACAATTATCTAATTACAATACATTTTATTATGTGCGATACAGCATTTTGTTAATATTCTAATTTATAATATATGTACAAACACGATTATGTTTTTTTTTTATTGTTTTCTAGGAATTATTTAAACTTTGTAATTGAAGAATTAAAAGATCCTATACGGTTTGTAATTTTTGTAACTCTATATACATTTTGTTTAGCCATAACGTCATCGTCTCAAACTAATTTTGTGTTTATTATTCCTTAGAAACCTGCCAAGAGCGATTGCAATATCATGCATACTCGTCACCGTCGTGTATGTCTTCACTAATATAGCTTTTTATACAACTTTGTCGCCACAAGAAGTCCTGACTTCAGAAGCTGTAGCTGTTGTATGTATTTTAAACACGTTTTTAGTGCTATTATAATCCCTATTAAAAACACACATTTAATTTTATTCTGAGTGAAAATCACATATATAGGTAGGCTAACCTATACCTAGGTACATTATTGTTACGAGTACATCGATGTGCGTCGTCTTTCATTTCGTTTAAATAGCTAAAAATAATACACATAAAAATATATTTTGTAAAATATACCAATCAAACAATATCATTATAACAAAAAAGTAAAAACGTACCTTAACCTCGAAGCTTGACCACGAAATTAAAATATGTATATTATCCATGGGTACTGCAATCATGCTAAATGAATAAGAATTTTTAAGTTGTAGTAATTAGTAGGGGCTTAGATACCCAAGGCCCAGAACCAACCTGAGATCGAAGCCACTTAATATAATAATATTTAGATTTTCACAATACAAAGTAATTGAATATGAAAAAGTCGTATCCAATGTAAATAAATATTAAATATATTGAAATTAATATAAGTACCTATACGTATGTAGGTACATTAAGGTCCTCGTGATAACTGATAGGTACTCGTTGAATGGAGATGATTAAAATTAATATAAGTAGTAAGAAAGAAAATACCAACAATTTTATATAAATTATTATAATTTATATATCTTAGTTAAAAGATGTAGTTTGAATAATTGTTTACATAAAATAAATAATGGCTTTTATAATAGGGTTAGTAGGTATAGGTGACAGGCAGGCGTATATACCGAGTATATAAATTATCATCTTATATTTCAGAAACCGTGGTCTCGCTTTGTTATATCTGACAATTTGATACTCAGATCGGTGCTTAAGGCCTATATTCGCAATGGAGTAGTTTGTTATGTAAAGCTTGATAAACCGATAACGTCAAACAACCGCAAGAGCGAGAAAAACAATTTAAATTGTCTTCTTGGTGTGTAAATAAAAAATTGTAAGATCAAATTTCGTGATCTGGATTCGAAGATTCTTATATAATAATATAATATAGTTCTTCAACTAAAACATGAATTTTATTGTAACTAGGTACGGGGTACCTACATAATATGTAAGTACAGGGTACACCGACGAGCGACTACACTACACGTTTCTGTGCATCAGAGTATCTGTATCTATATAATACATTAATATATAAATTATATCAGGTACCAATATACCATGAAATATTATAAGGTATAGGTGCCGTAAATACCTAATTTATATAGAAAACAATGATAATAATTAATAAACAATATAAGCATAAAGCATATGTCCAGACGTTGTTGTGATCGACTGCAGTTCATCGACGTATACATATGAACATAGATTTGAATTTTTTATTTTAGACGTTCGCGGAGAGACTGTACGGTCCGATGGCATGGACTATTCCCGTGTTTGTGGCTTTATCTACATTTGGGGCTGTTAACGGTATTCTGCTGACAAGTTCAAGGTGAATAAACATGTTTTACAAGTACATTTTAAGACTACATTAATGCGAAATGGTGTTGCATTTTCGTTACTTTACAAATTAAATACCTATCCATTATTGATAGACCGTAAATAGAAATAATATTGTCATGCTGTACAGTTTTATTATGCTGTGGTATACTTAAGTCTTAAAGGCAGGAAAACACGACAGTGTCAAATATTAATGAAACCCGAAAAATGCTCATCATATTAATGATCATAAATATATTATGCTATACCTATAGAGTTACCTAACTAATTACCTATTCGTTCTGTACGAAATCAAGTGGGTAGTCTTAGACGATTTTACTGTGTTCTTATTTTCTTGTCTATTCGTGTAAAATATATTGTATCGATATACTTTGCTTGTTTATATAAAATGTATAGTAATGGTGATAGTCAAAACTACAAAAGTGTTTAACATCCAAGAACTTTAACATTTTAATGTGGCGCTTCCGGACTCCGGTTATTGATATATTTGTTTAAATCGTAAATATTATTGTTAACATGAATTTAAAAATAAGTCGTTTAGAAACTTGGAATGTACCCTATAACTATGATGAGGATCTTCTCAAAGATTTCTCAAAAAAAAAAAAAAATCATATAGGTAGGTACTAGGTAGGTCGTAGGTTGCAATATTATATTGTTACAATATGTGATCATTGATCACACAACTATAATACCTAATACCTATATAACATCAAATACTACGCATATTGTTTGTTTAAATATTATATAATATTATATAATATTATTATCTGTTTGTTTAATTTCTGACTTATAGTTTTTAAACATACCTAACTAAAATATATGGTAAGATCAACTTTTATAAAAGCGACAGTCCGGTATAAACACGAGCGTAGGATTAAAAGTAAAAATTGAGAATTAATGATCGTTTTTAATTTATAAAATATACCTATTATATCGTTTATTATTGTCATACCTATAAATTATAATTTTAGATTGTTCTACGCCGGAGCTTGTGAGGGACAAATGCCACAGATCCTGACAATGATCCAAATCAATCGTCTGACACCCACACCGGCAGTCATATGCATTGTAAATATTATAATGATAATACAATAATATAATAATTATACCGTTTAAAATGTATGGGCGTTAAAAAAGAATACGCTCAAATAGGTGTATGTAATCCACCTATGTGTTACTTACCTACCTGAAAGGTAACTATTATTATATTATTATAATAATACTGTCTTTTCTTCACAGTGCTTGCTGTCTCTGATATATTTGCAAATATCTAACATTTACGCTCTTATCAATTACGTGGGATTCGCGACATGGGTACGTTTGAACAATATATATCTGAAAATAAAGTTAAACCAGACCATGTCTGAGTGTCCATAACTTGAAGTCACATACATATGTGTTGTTGTTTGTATACCTTATATTTTGTTTATCGTTTCAGTTGAGCATTGGTGTGTCGGTTTTGTGCATACCCGTGCTGCGTTTCACTCAACCAGATTTGCAGAGGCCGATCAAAGTGAATATGTTCTTCCCGGTCGTGTACATCGCCGCCACGCTTTTCGTGACTATAATACCGATAATCGCCAGTCCGGTCGAAACAGGTGGGTGTACATAAAATAATTTATAAATTATACGTTGGTCGTTCTCCTCTCGACAATGTATATTTAATTCGTATTCAGATTTTTAGAATTTTTAAGTAGGTATAGCGGTAAAAAACGAATTTTTAAATAGGTAGGCACATAGATGTTGTATAAAATGGGACAATCCCATTATGTCCACGCTTGTATTTTGTAATACAATTATTTTTCTGATGTTTTTAATCTCAAGTTTTCCTCATTAAATATTCTTTCAAGGTACCTACCTACCCTACTTTAAGCACACTTTTACGAAAAGGGGAATAGATTAATAAAATTAACATACAAATTGTAATTGTATTTCATTATAATTTCTCTTTTTATGTCCATAGCTATTATACATATTGGGCGATAACGAGAAACTTATACTTAATATAATATAATATTTATTTTAATATTGGTACTGTAATTAAAATAACTTACAGATAACATTTTGTTTCATTTTTATTTTTTTTTTTTATTCATTTCGATCAATACTTCTGTTAACTTCTGGTGGCAAGAAACGTTTTTCTTATGTTCTTCAATAAGAATCTCCAACAGCTTTTCATGAAATAAACTTTTTTCTTCAAGATTTATTCTTTGATCAACACTTTGTTTTTTCCCCTCTTCCAAATAGTTGCATAGTAAAATCTGCCAAAGGTTTGACCAATGGTGTCCAATCAAAGAAATATATCCCTGATATATTTGTCGTTACCGGTTAAACGCACCTGAACGCACGAATGAAGTGGTATCACATGGTATCTACCTAGGTACATATTATATAATACATAATATAAACTCGTACCTAGCTACGGCCTACGGGGCGAGAGAAATAAAAACTAATGAAAAACGAAATGGTATAGTGTGGCAACAACTGCACTGGCTAGGTACCTAATAATAGTTTTCCTTTTGATGACCCAAAACTGTTGAATAAATATTGATATTTTAAAAAACCTACCAACCTATCTAAGGCGTTTACTTAATAGGATGTCACATCCACATGTGTTGTCACCATCTTCCAAAGGTACGACATAGCAAAAACTGTTTTGCGCAACTTTTATCTTTCTGTGTTTGTAGTATTGGCTCCAAAATGTCTGAACATAAAGGGTGGAAATTTATCAATGCAACAGCGTGCCCATATTTTAGATAACATAAATATAATAAAAGTTATTTGTTTCCAAAGATTTTGTTTTTTCGTTTTTTTCATTTTCTTATAAAAGATGATTGGATAGGAAGTGCTATAAAAAGAAAAGCACGTTGTTGCCCAGTTAAAGTTCTTCTTTACGTGTTGTGAAAATTTAGTAGTTCTACAACAAATATGGTGCGAGAAAAGTGTCCCCTGCAAAATAGTTTTTGCTATGTTGTACATTCTTAAGACGAAGACGACACATGCGAGTATGACATCCACTTAAAAATATTAAAACAAATTTTTCAATAAAAATCCAAATTTTAATTCACAAGTTATTTGTGAAATGAATAGCCCTCAAAAATTGCCAAATGCTCATTTCAACCCCGTAGCATTCTCTCCTGCAATATTCTAATCTATATAATAAATTGTTACTGTAGAATATAATGTGATTCTAGGGTACGGATGTTTAATGATTTTGACCAGTATACCGGTGTACGGTGTGTTCATTTTTTGGAAAAACAAACCAATGATATTCCACAAAATCGTCGGTAAGGAATACATTTACACAATAATATAATATTATTGCATTTAGGATCTTATACTTAATTTATACATAGTAACACCAAAAACAATAAAATTGGCTGCACATAATATTGTGCGTGTTATACACTATAGGTAGTAGGCAGCTCGGATCCAGAGCAAAGATCTGGGGGGGGGGGCAACCATTTATTTACAACACAAATCCAATTATAATAAAATATTATACTTTATTCTTAATTTAAAAATGTTGTCATAATAGTAGGTATAGGTAATCAATGTGATAAATAAATTATTATTGATTATTTAATACATCACAATGTGAAAAGAAGTTTAGATTTTGTTTGTTTGTTATTTAATATACAATATTTATATTTATAAAAAAATATGTCTGGGGGTGTCTGGGCCCCTATCCCCCCTTGGATCCGTCCCTGGTAGTAATAGGTACTTGTTATCAGGCACGGATTCAGATAGTTAAAAAAGGAGGGGCTAAAGGAAGAAATTTATTTCAAGTACCTACATAAAACTCAATTAAAGCATATGGGATTAAGTTTAAGTTTTTATAGTGAATAAATTATTCATGCATAATATTATAAAATAATAATTATAATAACAAACTTTAATTATAAAATTAACATTTATTGCATATACATTATATAATTACTTGTAGGCAAGAGTGAAATATTTTTGAGTACCTACTTAAGGCCTAGGGGGGGGGGCAACCACCGTAACCACCCCCTCCCTTGTATCCGTGCCTGCCTATTATATAATACCTACATGGTTTTGGATTGAAAACATTTATATTGGTATCTGAGGGTTGTTTGAATTCTATATTTCCAGGGTGTTTAACACGTTACCTACAAATACTTCTGATGGTGACCACATCAAAAAATCCGGCCAAAGTTTGAAACGGAAACACTTTATCATAATCATCACAACTATATACAACCGTTAACCAACAATAATATTATTATAATATCAATAATACCTAATAATTCCAATAATCATAATGATAATATATTAATATGTTATGACGTGTGTTATAACTTATAATAATCTGAATTTTAAACGTATACCCTAAAACTAAACAGCAATATAAAAGACAATGAGTTTTGTGTTACTAACATAACATAATATTATATTAAGTGCTATTTAAAATTTTTTTTATGTTTTACATATTAAGTTTTTACACTGATGTAACGTTACCTAAAATATTTATGAAAATGTTAATAATATTTTTGAAGGTATTACATGATTATTACCTACCTATACTCTATAGGCTAAAGTGATACAATTGTTTTTAATTTTTATACCAAATACCAAATCAGTATTCAGAAATGACAATAATTAACAATTTATAATAATGAAAATTGGTTATATAAGTAAGAACATTAATATTATTTTCTATATTTTTATGATTTTTATGATTTTGTGAGATTTTTTGTTTCAATTTTGAATTAAACTCAAATGGTTGTAATAGATTAATAAATAATAATGCATTTGAACAATATTTAGCCAATGTAGGTACACATTTAAAGGTACAATTCAATTGTTAAGTATTTAATTTAAAAATAAATACATTACAATATTTTAAAAAAATATTATAAAATATAGTTTTTGTATTATTTTTATTTATTTGTTTCATTTTTGTTTAAATAAATTTGGAATAAAACCATTATTTTGACTACCTATTACAGTTTAAATATGAACAAATTGTTATTTGTTATTTGAATATTCTTTTAATGTGATTAATTACAATATATTGAAATTATTCCTATGGATATCGACAGCTATTTTATAATTAACCATAAACAACTAACCGATTTAAATTTTTTTTGTGGAAAATTACAACTTTTTTAGCCAAATAAATAATAAATAATCCTATATAATAATATATTATACTATACATTGGATTTTTACTTCTTTAACTTATTTACTACCCACCTAATTAATAATTATAATCATAAAAATGTTATATACTTATAAGAATAAAAACATTAATAATTATAACAATAAAATAACTATAGTAGGTCAAACAATATTTATAACAATCCAAAACTCCTAAATATTATAATATAGTGTAGGTACCTAGGTAGTAAGTAGTCAATATTAAAATTGTTAGAAGGTGAATCTATTGTAAACTTTAAAAGTGCCTATTTGTTCTATAATTTATAATGAATTAATAGGTATAAATATTATTTTTTAGATTGTTGATTTATTTATAATTGTTAATTTTAACCATTTAAAGTATTTATGTTTGGTGTCTGTTAGCAATAATTTAGCTAGGTATATAAATATATATTATTTTTTTTATTTTAATCATGTTTCAATGCAAAACAATGTATGCATCGATATTTTCAACAATTAACACGGAATTATATGAAAACTATTGTACTTCCAGCCTTTGATTATAAGCATTAATAAGTAAAATTTTTAAAACAAATATATTTATTTTTATAAACCATCGAAATATTATGTTTTTTTTTTTTTTTAATACAATCATTAGAGATCGAAGAGATTAAGATTTAATATCTATTAAATATAAAATATTCTGTATGGTTACTTTTTTACAATTTTGTATAATTTTTTAATCTAATTTGTTGGTTTTTGTAAGAGATTTTGTTTCTTATTTATATCAGTAGTTTACTATTCACTGTTGTAGGTATAACTATTTTTATTCTGTATCTATGATTTGTGTTTTAATGTAAATTTTATGCATTTTGTTGTTAAAAATACATTACACACATCAACATTTGTATATATTTTTTTTTTTATATCAATTGTTTTAATAGTTACTAATATTCTATAAAACATACCTAATAATCATATATCTTCCAGTAATAAATAAAGTATGTCACTTACCTATTATGTTAAAACCATACTTGCTACTTGAGAATACATAAGCCTATGCATTTTATTGATTTAATTTAGTTATAAGTAACTATTTATCATAACAACTGCTATTTAATTCATTTTCATAGGACTATAAAAAAAATATTTTACAACGAACAATATTAATTATATAATATTATAAAATATAAGAGGACATAATAAGGTTTTTTTTTAATAACTACTTGTTTTCTTTTTCGTCCTGTTATTTATAATTATTGTTAAAATATATTATTCTATTGTGCTGTATTAGATGGTACCTATAACCATTTTATACCTTATGTTTAAGCATGACTTATATACAATAACTTATCTATGTTTAAGACGCGTGACAATATAATTCATCATAATATATAAATATAACTAATTTTTATCCTAATATCCTATATTATTGGTTTTTTTATAAAACAAATAGTTTATTCCAAATAAAATACAAGGTATGCATATTTGTTAATATACAAGTACAATCAATGCTGGTGGCATAACATTGAGTTGAATTTTTTTATGAGGCTAGTGGTAAATTGGCAAAATAATAAGTTTTACCTGTAAAGCCTAAAGTTTAGTGGGGAAGTGACCCTCTTCTATCAATCAAATAATTTAACGGTAATAAATCTAAACATGTAGAACAAGTGATCTTTGAAGTTTAGTAGAAATGTAAAATTAGTGAAAAATTATCAAGTTAATCTTAGTAAGTACTATTCGTATTACAATATGTAAAATTTTAAGTGTATTCCTAATTTTTTTTTTTTTTTTTGTCTTTTATTTAATTTGTACAATCTGTAAAAAAAATATATTTACAATAAGCACAATGGAGGGATTGCTAATTTGAAAAATAAAAAGCACCAAGTGCATTAAAAATGTGTGATCACTAAACTATAACTGTGATTAAAATGACAAATTAATTTACTATTTTTATATTTTATCACTCTGTAGAGTATAGACAATAATTTTAAACAAACAAATAATTCTTGATTCAATAATTTAGAAGACTCTAAATTATAATAGTCTAAAGTGGGAAAAATGAAGGAATATTAGTAACAGTGAATACAAAATGATAAGTTATTCAAAAAGTGTAAGAATTAATTACAAAATCTATCCATAACAACTAATAAGCAGTAGGTATACAATTAATTAATTTATAAATTGTATAGTTTAGGTAAAATTGATGGTGTAGCCATTTAGGTATATTGTTAATCACTTAATGGTATACATGAGCAAAATGTATAAGTATTAATTCCTGGGGTCTTTAATAATATTTTTGATTATTATCTAAAACTATTGGAATTGTAATAAAATTGTACTGATTTTTAATTTTTCTCGACTACCCTAGCCCCTAGTCTTTGTCTTGCACTCTAAATTTATAACTTATTTAAATAATGTGAAAAATAACACGTTATTTCATAGAAATTACTTTTAAAAAGTAATTTTGTTACAATTGAGTTAATTTAAATAAAATATGATGCAATTTCTACTGCGTCATTGCAAAAGTAATTTCATTACAGTAATTTGTAATTTGCATTACGTTACTACCCAACACTGTATTTATGTGTTGGTGTGCTATTCATATTTATCTTTAACAGGGGTGGCCACTTAACTTAATTTATGAAGCCAGTTCGAAGCGAGGCAAGAAATGTTTATAAAATGGATTATAAAACGAAGACATATTTTTAAATTTATAACAAATTAAGGAACATGTATTTAACATATTTAATTTATATAAAGAAATAACTTAGAGCAGCACGAAACTGCCTCAAGAGTTACATGCGGCTCGTGAGCCTCGTAGTGGCCACCCCTGGCTTATAATAACACAATTAATACATTATCACACTGAAAAAAAGGTTGATACTTATTTTATAAATTATTGTTTGGTTTTTAAATGTAGACATTTTTAAGAAAGTTAATATAATCTAAAGGGGAATTATATCAGTGGTGACAATTATTAAAAAAGTTCACTATTTTGAACATATTTTAAATTATATCTTATGCTAAAAGCCTTGGAAAATAATTTATATTCTGGTAGCAGAAGTATTTGCCATAAATCTGAAATTACATAACATTTTTTTTTCAAATTATTTTAAATATTTTGACTACATCCATTATTTCTTTATTTCTTTATGGGCTGAGGGCCCAATGTGCTGAGGATAGTAGTTATGACAAAAATGTCCCATAAGAAACTGACAGGCACAGTTAAAGTTTTTTTCTAAATAGCTGATAGTTATAACTAACCATACTGTACAAAATAGTAACTAGAAATAACGATACATTAAAAATAAATACAATTTATACATTACCTAATTAAATTATTTTATTGTGGATAATCAAATTTATAATTAAATACAATTATATATTTATATAATATTATTAATTACTACACGGAAACAAAAATACATTTTTTTTTAAATATACTCATATTTACTTCTGTTCAGTTTCTTCGAAAGGGTATGGTGGTACAAATGCATTGAAGAAACAGTTATCTTGTAACTAAAATAAATAAATAAATATTAATTAAAATATGTACATTCAGTTATAACATCCCCCCATAGATTGAAACCCCTTAGGCACACCATTAACTGTATTAAATTGCACATGTATAATCTTAGACGTATGCCTACAAGTTAGGGTATTGTTTTCCTAACTTTTATAAATTTACTTCTGTTATAATCGGTAAAATACATTATTAAAATTGAAAATTTCAAAAAATCTGCACAGGACATTTAACTACCTAATAGATTATATTACAAATACAACTCATAAGTATTTTAGTGTCATTAATTTTAGAAAAATATAATGACATAAGAGTGCCTTGGTAATGGTATTCAATCGTGCAAATGCAGAACAAGTTTGAACTCAAGGTCAATGTTTTTTAAGATTCTTAACTCTGCAAATTCTTGGGAGCAGGGGGAACCTCCAAAAGGTATGTGAGTTTGTGGATTTTAGTAGCCGGTAAAAGTTATATACTTCATAATTAAATTGTAAATGTAATCTCATATGATTAATTCATATGGCAGACATGTTCCAAATTGATGATGGTGGGTAGGAGCCGGTTGATAAATTTTTAGGTTTGCTCATCGTTGAAACAAAATTATTTTAATCACCGTATCTACTCTAGACAAGACACTGGTAATGTGCGATGTGGGCATTATAAATTTATAAAAATATTTTATCAAGAGCAATACTTACTACGTAGATGGACGCTGCAAGAGCAGTGATTCCGCCTACAAGTACTAGGTTGTATTTGGTATTGGTTTTTCCGTGGTATTCGTTCCAGGGCACCTTTGGGACCGGCATGTCATCCATCGTCAGGGGTTTGTACGTGGCATGGTGACCATCACCCTTGGACCGCACGGACGTCCTCAATACGGCTATGAAAAACATAGAAAACAAAGTTAGACACGGTCATCGTTTATCGTAGTTAAGTAGGTTGAAATTATAAATTCTAAACTATGCAGACCTCATCTTCGAGGCAGTGCGTCAGTCAATTTATACAAGTACTTACTGCTGGATTTCTTCAATTGCGCTAATACTCGTGACATGGTGGTGATTTTGGTTTCTTTCTTTCGACAAACACGCTAAGTTTGTTCACCGTAACTCACGGCAAGTCGAAAATAGTATCGAACTTTCGACACACGAGACACGACCTTCGCTCGGCAGATAGTGTAGAAGAAAATTCAATCGTTCAAATCGTTAACAGCTGCTGCGTAATTGGTTAGATAACGTGACGCCTGAATTCCGCGGTTCAATGGCAAAATTAATAAAAAAATTTTACGTTGGTAACACCACAAATGCAACAGTTATCGACATTTATCGTATCACTATCCTTATCAATTTTTTGATAACAACCCAATACCGGCCACTGTATGCCGCATGTGGCATTCACGCATTGTGTATATTTTGTATTCAGATTACAAATCGTAACTGTCTCTGGGACTGAGTCTATTTTTTTTTAATAGTGTGTATTATATGGATTTACGTCGACTTGTTAAAAGTAAATAGTAAAAGCTACTTCCAACAAAATGACTGAGGACGCAGTGAGTACGGTGTTGGCCCGTTTCAAATCGGAAACGGGCGAGACGGTCAGCAACATGATGGACCTGCCTCGAGACGTCACCGTCAATCATTTACAACTGATTTGCAATTCATTACTCAAACAAGTAATAATGATGAACGACAGACCTCCAAATACGAAAGCTCTGAAGTGTACTTCACCTAGTAAATAAACTAATGAAAACAATACGATTTTAGGACGAGTCCGTGCCCTACGCATTTTTTGTTGATGACAAAGAAATCACTAATAATCTAGACGAATGTCTTGACGCCAAAAAAAAATTCAGCACCGAACTCGTAGTAGATATTGTCTACCAAGAACAAGCTGTGTTTAAAGTGCGACCCATCACCCGATGTACCAGGTCAGTGTTTGAACGAAACTTAAAATGTGCATACATACCTAGATATTTATTATTGTATTTTTGTAAGTCACCATAAAACGTTTTTACTTTTCTAGTTCGTTGCCAGGTCACGCAGAAGCTGTGATATCAGTGCAGTTCAGTCCGGACAGCCGGAAATTGGCCAGCGGGTCTGGTGACACGACTGTCAGGTTTTGGGATCTCGACATGCAAACTCCATTACATACTTGTGAAGGTTTGCCACCTACAATTATTGATTACTTTAAATTTAGCCATGCCTATAATGTAATGTGTGTTACAGGTCATAAGAATTGGGTGTTATGTATTGCCTGGTCTCCAAATAGTAAATATTTAGTATCAGGTTGCAAAAATGGAATGATAATGTCTTGGAATGTTGAAACCGGCAAACGAGTTGGGCCACCAATGACTGGACATAAGCAATGGATTACTGCTCTATGTTGGGCTCCATACCATTTATCCCCAGAATGTAGAATGTAAGTAATATTTTATTTTACTTTTTATATTTCATGGAATTGAATTCTCTAAAAATCATAATGTTGTTCTAGATTTGCGAGTAGTAGTAAAGATGGAGATATCCGCATTTGGGATATAATACTTGGTCAGTGCCAAAGGTCTCTTACCAGTCACACCCGCAGTATCACTTGTTTAAAATGGGGTGGAACAGGCTTATTGTATAGTAGTTCACAAGATCGTACAATTAAAGTTTGGAGAGCCGATGATGTAAGTAGTAAATACTATAATGGATTAAAAAAAACCATGCTGGTTTTGTAATTTTATATGAAATATAGTTCAATCGGTACTTTCCTGTTATCCCTACTAATGCGAGTCAATTATGTTATCTCGACTACCTCGCCGATGCCGATTTAGATAAAATCGATAATAAATCATAGACATGGATATAAATATAAAATACCTCCTCGATACAATTCATACTTTAATCACATATACCTTTTTTTATGAGCATTTGAATATATAATTTTTACGATATTGTGTATTTAGTAGTAATTTATTGAATTCAACAAGACCTTAAATCACTAAGCAGGGTACCCACCTACCCACCCACCACTAAAAGTTATGGGGTATTTATCCCAGTAGCCATACGTGTTTGGCGTCAATGAGCTCATTGGCCTAGTATCACGCACCATCTCAGCTCAGAATCGTATTTCGTATCCAATGATTTATCATTGAATTCAAGTAGAACACATACGCATTACAATAACATACTCGACAACTACAACTGTACAGTAGAGCGGTACTCACATGTCCACCTTTTTAATATATATATATATATATTTAATATCTTGATGATTTAATGAGAATTTTTAATTTGACGTTTTGTAATAATTTTGATGATTTAATGTTTTATATTATAACTCTCCACTACTGTGATAATTTATGTGATAACTGATAATAAACATTATACTAATATAGTAATGTACAAAATTATCATTCGAGGTGTTCCGGGTAGATTTTTTACCAACAAACCAGGTACCGAGTATTGGCCAAGTAACAATTTTTGTTAAAACTGAGTACAGGATACTAATCGAGTAATAATTTTTGTTAAAACCTAGTCTCGAGTACTGGTCGAGTAATAATTTTTGTTTAAACCGAGTCTCGGGTACTGGTCGAGTAATAAATAATAATGTCTTTTAAAAGATAAAACCTAGTCGAAACTTGATGGAAATTATCTGTTAACTGTTTGAATGTGTGTTTTTTATGATGGTTAAATATTTTAGAGAGTTTTGCATAATATGTATAGCATAAATTAAAAATGCTCATAACTCACCTAAAAACTGAATTATTGTAAAAATCTCAGATACAAACACAGATAATTTTTTAACCATCAAGTTTTATAATATAATAATAATTCACTCTAGATACTCAATAAAAATAAACAGCAAATCTGTAAAAAATATAACTTCTTATAGTTTTAATTTTTTCTTATAAAATTAAGAATTAAAACAAAACCATTGATAAATAATTGAATATTTAAAATTTGTTCATGTTATGATGTAAGAATAAAATTTGCTCTGCCTTCTCAGAATGGAGTGTACTTCGTTTAGCTTCATAAACTAACCAGGCCTCTGAAAATGACCTTTCTGAATAAACACTTGATGCAGCCATGCAGGAGCAGACAAATATTTTTTGAGTAGCTGCCTGTTTCCGATACATGGATACTTGTCATTATATACGTGTTATTGGTGTTATTTTTATTATTCTACATGAAAAGTTTATTTTATTAAATTGGTTATACCGATAGTGAATATGTGCTATCGTTAGTTTGAGAAAATTAAAAGCAATAAAAAAGCATTCCTGGGAAAAAACAAGTCTCAATAACACCATTTATTAAAATATCAAAATTAAAGTTTTTAAATTAGTAGTTAAAAATTGTTATACCGATACAATAATATGCTATAATTTAATTAAAAATAATACATATTAATAAGCATACCGTGAGAGCTATACTTTTCTCCAAATACATTTCTTTTTTGGTTTGGACCTATACTATAGCTTCAATAACAAAGATAACAATTACCTGTTTGCGTTTTTTATATGTATAATAGATGTTGAGAGGTAAGAACAATTCAAAAAAATCCGAATGTCGTACTAATGATTTACTTATTCCCAAAAGTTTGAAACAAAGTTAAAATACATTGCACAATGATTAAAATTACCTTACTTTAATGCATATAATAACTATTGGTGCAATGTTGAGTGCTTGTGATTTTAACTTATTTGAACCTATACATAATATAATTTTTTTTTTTTTTTTTGCTGATTAAAAGTCTTTTTTCAATACATTTTCAATTACATTTCAATCCCCTAGATTTTGGATAACTTTTCCTTTAGCTAATAGATTGATGTTCATAATGTTTGAAAAAATTAGTTATGTTAATAAGAATAATATAAAAAAAAACTACAATCTCTGATCTGATAATCGTAATGTACTACGATTGATATCAATAAATATTTTTTTGGAGCAATGTTTAACCCCTGGAGTAAAGTATCCCGCTCTTACGGTACATAAATAAGTATTTCCAGTATTTCAGATTTTTTGTAATCCGACACTGCTCTATGTATGAATCGGATTAATGAGATTGCACTGTACTAATAAGACTTGATTTGATTTCAAATATAGTCTGTAAACTTATAGTTTGATTATAAACAAACACTACTAATTAAATTGATTTCTTATATCTTTTATTTTAATGTTACGTTTAGGGAATTTTATGTAGGACTTTGGAAGGACATGCTCATTGGGTGAACACACTTGCACTCAGTACTGACTATGTGATAAAAACAGCAATGGTACCCCAACCTGGTTCTAACAGCGACAAAAGTATATTTAATTGCTTATGCTTGAATATTAATTTTATTATTATTTTTCTAATGCTAATATGAGTTTTTTTTATAGATGATAATGTATTAGCCGAAGCTAAAAAACGATATGATGTGGCTGTAGCAAACGGTGGTGAACGGTTGATTTCTGGATCAGATGATTTTACACTATTTTTATGGGCCCCTGAAAGTAGTAAAAACTCTGTCGGTAATGATTCTTGTTAATTCTGCTCTAAATAATCATCTAAGTACATAATATATCATCAACAATAATTGAATGTATTGTTTACTGAACAGCAAGAATGACTGGACATCAACAGCTGATCAATTGTGTACAGTTTTCACCAGACACACGGTTAGCTGCGTCTGCGTCATTCGACAAATCTATAAAATTGTGGGATGGAAAAACTGGACAGTAGGTTTGAACATATCTTCAAAATAATTCATGTGTTAATGAAAACAATTTTTTTTTTCTTAGATTTCTTGGAACAATGCGAGGGCACGTACAAGCAGTTTACATGATATGTTGGTCTGCCGATTCTAGACTTCTGGTCAGTGGAAGTGCAGACTCAACATTAAAAGGTCCGTATTTTTCAAATAGTCAATCCTAATACAAAATTTAAACAATAGTCAATAATTATTATTGTATTTTTTAGTGTGGGACGTGAAAGCCAAAAAATTACAAGGTGATCTTCCCGGTCATGCTGATGAAGTTTTTGCTGTTGATTGGTCTCCAGATGGGCATCAAGTTGCTTCTGGTGGAAAAGACAAAGTACTTAGACTGTAAGTATTTATTATTTTTACTTTATTTATATTGTTTGAATGTTTGACTTGTTTAAATATTATATTAACTATTTGTTATTTCATTATAAATAATATTAGTAATATTATATGCTATCAAATGAATATGATGGATATTTGTGTTCTATTTTAAATTTGGAAATTTAAATAATATTTTATACTGTTTAATTATAAAAATTAACAATGAGCCATGAATGTTTGGTAATTAATTGATATTGCTCATATTTTTTAACTGTTTGTTCTTTTTGTTTCAGGTGGACACATTGAAAATTCAAATGTTCCTCAAAAATCAAATATTTACACGTTAATAACATATTTTTGTACGTCATTGAATTTCCAATGTATTAAATTATGTAAATAAATGTTCTCATTATATGTAATATATGAATTGTCGTTAACTTATTTCTGTTTGTTTTGTTTTACACTCCACTAATTAAGGTGAAATTTGTTCAAACAAAATGGAACAATACAGTTAATCATAGATATCAACAGATCAATATTTTGTAATAAAAATTATTGTTGATAGTCCCACAAAGGCCGTTTTATTATTGATATAATGCAGGGGTGTCCGACCTTTTGTGAAAACTGGGCCACATCATATATGGGTAGAAGTTGTTGTGGCCCACATACTTTTTAATAATAATACATTCAAATTGAATGATTGTACTATATTCTATAATACAACAATACATTTTTGTTGATAAATTACACGGAACATTGGTATTGGAGCCAATAAAGCAAGTTAAAACAAGTTTGTGGCGGACAATGAAGCAACTACGGCGACGTCGATAACGATAATTGTATAAAAATAAAATTAACTAAGTTAATAACGATTACTTAATATGCAAAATATTGCATAAACAAAATAAATCAAAACTATAAACAGCGAGACTCGTCTCTTGTCTCATAGGTCACGGCCGTACACACGGTTTAGGCCCCCCCACATATATAAAATTCCTGTATAAGGCACTGTCATAGGCCATATTGGCCACAGTTGGTACAACAACAACGATAACCACTACTCACTTACCAATCATCCCTGTACACCACGCTATGAAGAATGAGATCAATTTTTTAGCTGTTTTTGGGTGTTTATTGAATTGTATTGCTATAATAATTAATAAATATATATTTATTAATTATTATAGTTGTAAGCCACGCGCTTGAGTTGGAGGTGTCCGTAGCAGCAATACAGTTTAATAAACACCCAAATACAGTTAAAAAATTAATATGAGACGACATCTCATTCTTCATGGCGTGGTGTACAGGGATGATTGGTAAGTGAGTGGTGGTTATCTTTGTTGTTGTACCAACTACGTAGCTATAATAACTAGTATATAACAAAAAAAAATATTTTGTAATATATATACATTCAAATTTGTAAAACAGGGACCACTTTATTAATGAAATAAAAAACGGTGGGTCGGCTGACCCCAAAACCCCCTCCCACCTGGGTCCGCATCTGAATGAAATGTAACCACGATAATATTTTTGTAACTTACAAGAAAGTCCAGAATTCCAACTTTGGATACCGGGTACCTGCAGGTACTCGTCAAAATGATTTTTTTACTTGAAATTTTCATAAAATGTTGTAACCATAATATGTAACCTAAAATTTGAAATTCCTAACATAACTCAAGCCCCGTAAAAACTATATATTACGGTCAGCATGACATTATCCCAGCACCTCAGTAGCCTTCGAAACATTGAAGTACAATATTTATTAAGACGATAATACATTTTTGGAGGACAGGAATGCATTACTGAGCCTATGTAAGACAAAAATTATGATTTTTTTTTTAACACTATCAACAGTCATTTAATTACCAAAATCAAAATGATAGAATACTGAATAAGTTACTGGAAAACAATAAATATAAAGCTTCACACAAAGCTTAATAAGTAACAAAACAGTTTAAATTTGTAAATAATTTGTGATCGGTATAAATATAAATATTAAAAGTAAAATTAAATTAAAAAATTTACATGACTGGATATATCGTAAATAAATATTTAAGAATTAAAATAGTTTGATAAATATTGTCTCACATATTTAAGATGAAATTTTCAAAATTATAAAAGCTACAACATAATGGTAAATAATAAAAACATAAATGTTTACTATAATGCTAAGTCACATTCAAAACCTAATAACAAATACACATAATTGTGATCAATAATACTTAGCCCAAACAATTATGAAATGAATGATCATTCAAAAATATAAAAAAAAATTAAAGAAATCCAAATTGCTCTAATTAGTTTAATTTATAATATCTAAAAACGTTGAACAATTATAATATAACTTAAAAAAAAAAAAAAAAAACAAACAAAATATATTTCATAAATATATACCTATATATTATAATATATATATATTTTATAATATTATTATCTATTGTAATAATGTAGTAACTTTGACCATTAAAAAATAATTAAACTATTAATATTATCAAATGAGTAAAAATAAAATAAATAACTACAACAAAATATATTTAAGAGGCACATTATTTATTATAGATACCTAATAATTTATTGAATGGCACAATAATTAGGTAATAATAATAACAATATAATATATCCATAATAATAATAATGATAAAAATAATAATAAATAATCAATGGTACCTAACAAACAACTTAGTGATGTGATTTTCTGCTTAATCAAAAGTAAGAAATACCAACAAATTCTAAATATTGTTCATTTAATGTTTCATGAAACAAAATAAAAAGAATTTGTCTTAAAAACATTTATTATATACGGCATAACTGAAGCCAATGATAATATAATTGTGCATTTTTTTTTTTAAGCAGAATACAGGCTCTAAAAATAAAATTGTCAAAGAATTGTGAAGATTTTGTACAGCACTTCGATCGCGTTTGATTACAATATTATAAATTTCCCTATCGTTAAGTTTTTTTAGTGATAATTTAATTTCAAACCTGGTTTGATACTTTTCGATTTAAACCACACTCTCTTTGTCAACAATCTGTTGTCTGTCCGAATACGTTTTACGTAATGACACTTCGCTTGTTCGACATGGTGTGGCAGTGCCATTGAATAATCCAACCAACCAACTTCTAATTGAATTTCTTGAAACCAATTTTTTTCTATGCGGTTCCATGGAAATGTCTTCGAATGAATGCCATCGTTTATTGTCTTCTATTGACAATAAAGGGGTATATTGAAGGCTACCGTTAACCACAGTTTCCTCAACATTTTCTTCACAGTTTTCTTCTTTTGTACATTGATCATTAAGAAGTTTTGAATCCTATGCAAATAAATAATTTTATGACAGTAAAAATATGTGTCTGTTTTAATATATTAGTTGCAGATTAATTATTAATGTTCTCTAACCTCTAATGAACGACAACTTCTTTTGATCATTGAGCTCACTCTGCTAATGTGTTTGTTTGGAAATGGATCCATGGACGCAGAATGTATCATTTGTCTACACCGTGGTTCAAGCAAAAGATGAGGTAAAGGAGTTGGCCGCTGTTCATGGAGTATAGTTTGGCTGTCTCTGGCACTTTGATCAAATGAATTTCCTCTAGGAGCAAATGACGGACGTCTGCTGCCAAACTCTCCAAAGTTGTACATTTTTGGACTGTGGCGTTTTGATCCACAAAAAAGAGGAGGTGATTCAGTCAAGTCCACCTAAAGATAAACATTTTAATTTCGTAAAATTTTTGTTTTTATAAAAATCAAAACAATCAATCATGTTTTTATTCTACATACATCTCTTCTTTTAATAGCTTTTTCAGTTGTCCCTTCAAGCCAATAAGTGAGCACATCTCCTTTTCCTTTCATGTTAACATAACCGCGTTCTTTGATTATATATCCCCCCAACTCATCAAGAGCATTTTTACACTGTTCGCTAATGTGAATTTTTAATGGTTCACCGTTGGATTCCATTCGTGAAGCTGTATTTACTGTATCACCAAACAGACAATACCTAGGCATAGTGAGACCAACTACACCAGCTACCACTGGTCCTATTCATGGTCAAAAATAAACAATTTAGATGTAAGTACCATCAATGATGAATTGCTACAAAAATTGTATAATAAACCGTGTTATACCTGTGTGAATTCCTATTCGTAATTTTAATGTGGCTTCTGGGTGATGAGCTATTTTATGATGTTTTACAGCTTCAAGCAAATTTAATGACATCGAAGCTATTTCACCGGAATTTCTATTACCATTTCTAATAGGCAGCCCTGACACCTATACCAAACCAATACAGTTTACATTTGATAATTTTAATTTGGAATAATAACAATACAAGTGAATAATATTATATTGTGTAAATAAAATTAATAATTAAATAAGGTAAGAACAATAATAAATAATAATAATACATACCACCATGTATGCGTCTCCTATTGTTTCAACTTTGTAAACATCGTAACCTTTGATGATTCTGTCAAATAATGTGTATAGATCGTTTAAAAAATTTACAACCTTAAATACAAAAATTATTAATTACTATATAGTTTATGCATATTTACTATTTAATATTTACATGCCAGGTTGCATAAAAATTCATTAATTTTATGGTTCTCTATAATTTAATGGATTGATCATGGCCCATTAAATCATGTTTAAGGGATCATCAAGGACTAGGATATATAGATATATAAGATATATCTTAGTTTGTGGGGACCATTAGCTCACTATTGATTAATGGAATTTTTATTGATTTTTCATGCAACCCTCTGCTTCTATATATTAATATCTTATACAATTATATATATAAATTAAAACTATTTAATATTCATACAACTAACCTGTAGAGGAGTACTCTCAGCAGACATTGCAGTAAAACCAACAATATCGCTAAAGTAAATGGTAACTGAATTGTATGATTCTGGTTCTATACCGTGTCCTAGAGTTAGTTGTTTTGCTACTGGCCTGATTATATAAAATAATTTATGTAAGATTAAGTTAAAATTTAGTTAATCAAAACTATCAAGTTAATAATTACGCTGGTAGCATCCGATGCAATAAATCCTCAGTTTTTTGTTTTTCTTCATAGACTTCATGGGTACGTTGGTTGACTAAATCTTCAAGATTGTTTGCATATTTTTCCATCATATCCATCATTTGATCCATTATATTTTTATGTCTAAATTAACAAGATAAGCCCCAATTAATATAAATTAAAATAATTATGATATTAGGATCAACATACTTTCCATCTTTCATTTTTTTGAGTCTGGCACGTATCATGCCAAAGTCTGGCCTATTTTCTGGGAATTCATCC